ATCTTTGTATAGGCTAAAGCAATCACCAAGGGCATGGTACCAACGCATTGATACATTCTTTGTGAGTGAAGGATTTTTAAGGAGTGAGACTGATCATTCTTTATATGTGATGCAATCAAATAGGTTCATATTGATTGTCATCTTCTATGTTGATGATTTGATCATCTTAATCAATACATTGAAGATGATGGATTGGTTGAAGGCAAAGTTGGAAAAGGAGTATGAAATGAGTGATTTGGGAGAGCTTCACTATTATTTAGGAGTGGAGTTTATAAGAGATTATGCTAAGAAGACCATTTACAATGAGCCAAAGCAAGTACATTGAAGAAGTGTTAAAACAATTCAATATGGAGGAGTGTAAGCCTATTGGAACACCATTGGAGGCAAACTTGAAGTTGATGAAGCTCACGGATGAAGAATTTGTTGAAGTTGAAGGTCAAATGCAAGGTGTTCCATACAAGGCAGTAGTGGACTCACTTATGTATGCAATGGTTGGCACAAGGATGGATCTTGCATATGCGGTGAGTATTGTGAGCCAACACATGTCAAAGGCTGGACCAATCCATTGGACAACCATCAAAAGGATCATGAGGTACTTAAAAGGCACTTTGAACTTCAAATTATGCCTTGGACGTGATAACATTAATTTACATGGTTATTGTGATGCGGATTGGGCTGGAGACGCAAATGATAGAAGGTCAACAATGGGCTATGTATTCTTTGTTGAAATGGGAGCAATTTCATGGAATTGCAAGAGAAAACCAACAATTGCAAGGTCAACAATGGAGGCAGAGTACATGGCAGTAAGCCATGGTGCAATGGAGGCAATATAGTTGAGACAACTTTTGGAGGACATTGGAGATGTGCAAATGGAAGCAACTCCAATGGAGTGTCATAATCAAGGATGTCTTGTATTTGTAAAGAATTCAAAGCATCATTCAAGGACTAAGCACATTGACATTCAACATCACTTTATAAGAGAGAAGATTGAAATGGAAGTGATTGATATGAAGTATTGTGCAACGGAGGAAATGCTTGCTGATTTGTTGACAAAGACATTAATAAAAGATAAACACCACATGTTGACAAAGGCATTAGGATTAAGAGCCATTTGATCAATAACAAAGTGAGAGTCTTAAAGTAAAAGTAGAATAAGTTACCTTATAGAGGATATTAAGTTAGGTAAGTTACTAGTGGTCAAAGGTTTGACTCTTGGTATATGGTAAGGACATCCAATGGATATAAGACGAAGTCATGGATCAAGTGTCAAAGTCAAAAGGATAAAGTATTAACAAGGGAGTATCCAAAGACTAAGTATGAGTCATTAGTATGTGTCATAGAATACTCTGGAGGCTCGTGAGATACCAAAAGGATTCTAGGGCCATGTGTGTAAAAGTCAAAGAGTAGAAGTTGTCTTTTAGGGCAGCAACCACTACCTATAAGTAATGGATATAGGAAATGAGAGACATCTTATTCCATACTCTCTTTGTGTGCAATCTTGCTGATACTAAGTGTTGTGTCTTCAAAGTGTTTGTTCTTCAATAGAAGTAATGACAAAATTGAGGAAATCCTCAATCTTGTTTTTAACTAAACTACTTACAAGTATAAAATCTTGTAGTCTAAATTTTTAATATCTTACCACCCAAATGATTAGCACTTTTGAGGGATAGGTATATTCTTACATCCATGTAAAACTTCATATATTTTTCATACCAATTAGGATTTTATTCAACCTATTGTCTACAGTTACTTAAAAGTGACTACAATCCAAGACTTTGCAATGCACTAGGAGGCGTAAGGTGTTTTTGAGCAACCCAAGACAAGGGATGTTGCCAGCTTCTAATGAATACTATTTTTATCAAGAGAAATTTTTCAACTTTATAAAAGTCCTCTAAGAAATAGAGATATTTTGAAATCCAACCTTTAAGTCTCTATGGTGTTATAATTTCTTTATGAGATGTAAGTTTTGATTGAAGCGTATAGATTTCAATATTACATGTGATATTAAAAGAGCCATATAAGAAACCAACTAGGCAACATCTATATTAGTATAAATATTATAAGGTTTTTATATCAAAATCAAATGATATGTATGTTGGTGATTAAGAGTTTTGGTTACTTTGATTAGATTATGAGTTTGATCCTAGTGAGGCAATCAATAAATTGGTCATCTTGAATTTTCGTTGTAGTCTTATTCTTGATGCTACTTCTTTGCCTTAGCCCTCTAAGATCCATCTTCTTAATGCTAATACTTTGTCTTAGCTTTTGCAAAAATCCATTTGCCTCTACTCTCTAAGTTTTAAATTTCTTGAGCATGCAAGAATGACCAAATAAAAAATACATAATTTTGATTGAAAATGCTTATAAAACTCTTCGTGAAGAGATGTCAAAGAGGTTTTTTTGATTTAGTACATGTATTATATCAATAAATATTTTTAAAATCTTTGACATTTTAAGCCACCAAAAATCTCTAAGAAATTAATCTCTATTACTTCTTATCTGAATTTTTCTAGTAGTAGAGAAATAAAAATTTTAAATAAACCATTTAAATATCATTCTCCTTTATAATTACATAATAATATATAAAAATAAGATAACAAAAAATTTAAATATTTTTTTTGAAATTTATACATAGGTTGTTATAAGATACTATCAAGTTTTTCAATTTTTAATTTTATTTAATAAATTAAATATTTTAATTCTAAAAAATAAGTTATATTGTTAGATTATTTTTATATAAATTCCTAAAATTTATTGAATGTTCCATAATTTTTTTCTAATTAATTATGATTATATAAGACTTACTTCTATATATTAAGAACATTAATATATTTCTGGTTTTGTTTAAATTTTCATGAATTGATTTTAGATTTTTGTTTTGTTTTTATTTTTATTTTTATTTTTTTAATATAGTGTCAGTAGTATTGTCACAATTTGGATTTTACTAAGAATCATTTTGAAGTACTTTCTAGAAATAATATAGCTTAATAAATTTACTTAAAATTTGTGGAATTAAAAATACTAATTTTAAAATATTATAAAATTTCGTATTTTTTTCATACCATAAAATATATTTTATTTATATATTTATTTATTTATTATAATTATTAGATTATTTTACAATGTTATTTAAAATGTAACAAAGAGTCATTCAAAATTTCTAAGAAATCATTGCATGTTAGTTTATAAAAAGATAAATGGTATGTATATTAATAAAAAAAGATATTATATTGTATATGAAATACATATGTTTTATTCAGTGTGCAATGTTTTATTAATTTCCTACTTCAATTTTGATTTCATTGTAAACTTGTAAAAGATCAATCTTTGTATAGGACTTAGTCCTAAAAAATTACTAAATAATTTTAAAATTAATAGTATTATATATATATATATATATATATATATATATATATAATTATTTTCTTTTCACTACTAGTATAAAATTTTAAGTAAATTTTTTAAAATTTTCAATAATTTTTATTTTGTAAAATTTAATGCTATATATTTTAAATAGACTAAAAAGATGGTTATGGATTTTTTAGAGATTAACCAAAAAATCATTAAGTCAATACTTTAAAAAAACTTATATATTTTTTTAAAGCATATCTTCAAGTTTTCTATCTTTTTTAGAAAATAGTTGGTGATGTTACAATTCTAAGTAATAATGATACATAGATTATATATATATAAAAATATTTTTATATATTTAAGAATAATAATATTTTTATATAAAAATAATTTATTTAAATATTTATTTTTAATATCTTTTTTTGGTTTAAAAAATATGTTATTTAAAAAAGAAACTTAAGATCTTATATTTTCTAAGGCCTATGTTTATTATATTTGTTTATAATAAAAAAAAACTCAGGGCATTGGATATTTTTATATATAATAAATTCTTAGAAAATTTGACTTACTACTTCTTAAATAGTTTTCTTGCAAGTGATATTATTAGAAGCTAAAACATGTCAATCTATGACTTCTACATACACTACAATAGATTTCTTCTTAACGAGTGTTTTTGGATTTTTCAAAAAATAAATTTATCTTATAAGAAATCACTCAAAAATCTAGAATAACAAAATAGTTTGTCTTTTTTAAATACATGTGTATGCAAACAAGGATATGCAAACACTAAATGATCTTGTTAGGCATGTATATATGCAAAGTTTATCTAAAAAAATCTTATTGAATGTTGTGTATCTATGTCTTTGTTTTTGTCTTTTTTTCTTTCTTTTTTTAAAAATATATCTATTATTCTTAATTTATGGTGCTCATGTACAATACATACATAATAGCACTATATTTTTCTACTAATACTTTTATAGTGAACAATATCTATGAGAGGATCTTAGATTGAAGTGAAAGTAAAAAACTACTTTTTATTTATGTATTTTATTCCTTTTTTCAAATTACATTTCTAATATTTGTTAACAAGGATATTTCTTAACAAGGATACTCTTAACCATCTTTCTTCGTATTGAATCTCATTCAATACGAGACTTTTAATGTGCCATCTCTCCAGTTCCAAATTCGGCACCGTCAGAAATTTTGTGCTGGAGATTATCAACATTTAAGAGCCAACAATAATGAAGATTGTTACTGTGCGAGTTTTGAAGCCTTGATTGGGTCGGTAACTGACCAGATCACAGCATAAAATTAGATGCAACTGATGGGTCCAGGCGCAAATTCAAGCATCGTTTTGGAATAAGCGGAAGTGAGATTGCAAAACGTGTGAAGATGAACGAATATGGTGAACTATCTCGGGTGAATAATAAGTAAACACGAATCGAAGAATGCAGATACCTCACCCCAAAATGCCCAACGAGAGGAAGAATCCCAACGGGTGATGGGAGCTATTCGTGTGCAGCCGATCGAAAGTCCACTGCGCCTCTAACCATCCGAAGCAATACAGATGCAAAGCCAATGTTCCCCCCTCATAGGAATGCGACCAGAGAACAAGCCTGGAGTAATCGAGTCACTCCAGCACACAGGTGTGACGACTCCAATGACACGATTGAAGTCGCGGAATGAAGATAACAATGCAATTTTATTCGTCTCTCTAAATAACAATATGTACATTTTGCGTTGCCGCATAAAATCGTGATCTGTGGTTCAAAAATCAGCCGCAGTGATAAATCTCAGGGTGACAGAACATGGAGATGGCAAGGCCATTGCTCGTGGGCCTCGACAAGAGCTGCACTACTTCAGAATCGTAGAGGGATGAGACTGAATCGCTCTCGCTAGCTCAGAGCTTAGAAGGGGATGGCGCCCGAGACTCGAGGGTACACGACGCGGTTGGGGTGGTGCAGCAGACGACGCGCCTTCTGTTTTCTAAAGCAGTACAACGCAACGCCCAACGGCCACTCCACCACGGCGGTGACCAGAAACGCCACCACTCCTAGCGTCGGGCCCACGATCTTGCACCGACACGGGTTCTGGTGCGTTCCACACTGCACACACAACGGGATCGCCATCGCGCTCTCTCTCGCTCACTCGCTCGGAAACCTAATCGCTCCTGCTCGCTCACTCCTCTCGATCGCGACCTCCAAGTCCAAAATACTTAGTCCCACGTCAAAAGGGTCGAAGAATGTGCAACAGCTGCTTCGGTAGAATCACGATTGCAAGAGACGATGGAAGGCTTCGCGGATGATCAGTCCCTCGAAACTGGGATCGTTTATGTATCGAGACCAGGATCGCAGCCGGAGCGATACTTGGCGCTTCCACGTGTCAGTCGTGCGCTGTGACCCAACGGAATCTCGACCCATCGATTCGCCACTCCTTCGGCTACACGTGTCACCTTGAACGTATACGATTTCGATGACGTGGCTTGGTTTATAATCCACCGTGGAATTGAGCTGACCTGGTTGTACAACCCCCATTGCGTTAATTTCCCACCCAGTTGGGTTTGTTATCAAATAGTGAAGTGTTAAAATAGTGAATAAAATTTGCCACCAAATTAAGGAATAAGTAGTTCAAAGCTTTTTCGTCGCTCTTAAGATCATGCCAATGCAGAATTGTGGAATAGGTTCTTTTGCAGCTGTTATTTGACAGCTTTTATAGGCAATTGGGCCATTCTCTTTTTTCATTCAGAATTTAATGTCAATTGCCATAGTTGAAGCATTTTAGTACTTGCAAAATGGAATAATCCATCTACAAGGTATGAAGAGTAGCCAATTTGTCATTTAAGTGCTTTAATCTATATTTATCATTTGAAAGAAAACATATGTTTGATATTGTCTTGTGTAAGATTTGTTGATAAGACAATGGCGATGTTAGTCTTTATATATCACCATACAAATCAAGATCTCAAATGACCTTGAACGCTTTTAATGAAGATTGGAGACTTATGGTTTAGAATAGTTTCTATGTTAATGGGATTTTATTATTTTGCTAGTCTTTGATACAATATAATCTAAGAAAATCATCTTCAAAGTTTTCATGTACAATTTTATTGGATTGTTTTCTTAATTATTTTTTACAATCTCCAAAGTTTTAATGTACAATTTTATTGGATTGTTTTCTTAATTATTTTTTACAATCTCCAAAGTTTTAATGTACAATTTTATTGGATTGTTTTCTTAATTATTTTTTACAATCTCCAAAGTTTTAATGTACAATTTTATTGGATTGTTTTCTTAATTATTTTTTACAATCTCCAAAGTTTTAATGTACAACTAAGAAGCATTGGAAGGTGAAGAACCTAGCTATTTTTGGTAAAAATGTCATCAATAACTACCAACATTGATTTGTGCAACACATAAAAGAAGATTGAGGTCATCATCAAATCAAATACAACTAATGAGTTATAAAGTTTAAATAGCATTGCAAAAAGACAAACATCTTTCTAAGTGTTGTAAAAGAAAACATATGGTAGTTTATGGAAGTTATAGATATGTGATTATAATTAGAGTATCTATCTATTCACAACTAACTACTTTATTTAAAATTCAATTAAAAAATGATAAGGATAAATAATTTTTTTTAATAGTCATGTTGAAGCATCAATAGTCTATACATACTACTAGTTTTTTTATATTGACAAAGATTTAAAAATACATTTGATCTATTATCTTTGCAAGTTTAATAAATCCGATTCTAAGCTTCTTCTTTTTTTCAGTATAGCTTTAATAATTAATTACAAACATGGTTATATTATTTTTTTTTGGAATGTTGGTCTAAAATAGAATTAAAAAATTTAGATATTAGACTACTTTCAAATAAATTCTTTTGAGATTTTTATTTAGTCATACAAAGATGACTACAAATTATGATAAGAAGTCAAAGTATTGTACTACTTTGTTTAAAAAAAACTATAATCTATTATTTATAAGATAGAATTTTATCATTATATATATTTTCTTTTCACCAATCATTAAATGAAGCATATTGCAAAAAAATCTTTTTAAAAGTATAAAATAACTATTTGATTCTAAATCAAGACAAAAGATGTAGAATGTAAAGATGTATGCCTCTCCTTACCCTCCAAATGAGCAACTTGGACAAAAAAAGTGATTCAACATTAATTGGCCATATTAAATATAAATAAAGGATCATGTCATTTCTACATCCAAATTTTCTAATGTTGAAAGAAGAATTATATTGATGCTTCTACTTCTACCTATTGACATACCAATAATAAATTTGTGAAAGCATTTTAATGTTGGTTAATATATGGCATTTTTTCTGCACAATTTAAATAGGATTTAGCCCTTATGACCAATTTTTATTGATTACAAAAATAAATGGTTCATTTTCGAAATCTTTTTTGACAATAGATGCTAATTAAGTGAATTTTGCCATCAAGATATACAAAGATATGACTGTAAGTCATATTTGTAAATCAGAAAAATATATTATAATCCTCTAATTCTTGTATCTTTATTGATACATCATCTAAAGAAAATTGCTTCTATAATAATTCAAGTGTAGTAACTATATATATATGTATATATATTTAAAAAAAATATTTTAAAAATAAAATTCGATGTTACTTTAAAATTAGAAAATTAATCAAAAATAGATTTAAATGAAAGATTCACTAATTTTTGGATCCTTGTTGTTAGTACAACATTTATTCTTTCATTATTCTTTTCATGATAAAGATACTAAGAGATGATTTCAATTTAATTTGTAAAAAATCACATTAGTATGTTAAAAACTATAAGAGATTTAAAGGAATTATTTCATGAAATTAATAAATAAACAACAAGTATTTCATAATATTAGATTAGAAAAATAATCTAGTCTTATTTGTTTACTAATCAAAAGTCTAAACCAAAAATTTTAAAACCCTAAACCAAAAATCTAAACAATTTTAAGTCAATTCTTGGTTTAGTCTAAACAATTTTGAATCAATTCTTGTCTTTAAAATTCTTGGTTTTTTTAATAAATCAATTTAGAAACTGGATATTTTATGAAGGTATTTGTTGTTAGTAGTATATAGATTGTTGGTTATTTTTATGTTCTTATTAAAGACTAGCATAGAAGAAGTAAATTATTTTATTTAGATGGTCAATTTATACAAAATATTTCTTAGTCTTCATCTTAGTATATTTATCTATACCAAAAAGTAAGATGGTTTTTTATTAAAATTAACATATGTTATACTTGAATTCAATGTATTTGTTTTTAAGTTCAAATATGTATATTTTTTTAAATATGCCAAACAAAGCCCATCCTTTGAAGGTTGTTGATTTAACTTTTGTAAATAATTTTTATAATGCTGGTTTTTAAAGAAAACATGTAATCCATTTTTTTATAGCTTAAAAAATTGATCTCTATGACCATAACTATGATTTTAATAAAAAATACGGATGAAATAACTACCAATTGTTATAGACTTATGTATTATTTAGGTAAATATCAGTAAGTAGAAGTGAATAGAAACATATTAGACAAACCATATCTTTGTTGAAAAGTTTTAAAGAAGTTTTAGAAAAATATTTAAAATAAAAATTAGATATCTAAACTATACTTAATTATAATTCCTACTAATGCATCTTAGTTATTGGATTTATTAAAATTATTATTCAAGTATTTTTTATTTTAAAAAAATATTAAGTTATAAGGTTTATTTTATTTTTTAAGTATTTATTAAGGTTTATAAGATTTTATAAGTTATAATTGTCTAATTAAATAAAAATTATAAATATAAAATCTTAACGTATCTTAGAATTAATTATCTTAGTTGATATAATATATGCACATCATTTTAATTAAACATCTCTTACATTTTTTTGCTACTAATATACTTATATTTTTTTTTGTTATTTTTTTAATATATATACATATATTAGACATATATATATATATATATATATATATATATATATATATACTAATGTTGGTCGATACTAATCTAACACCTTAACCATTGATCTCAATATTATAAACAAGCATATTTTTATGTCCTTGAAGAGTTATTATTTGCCTCTAATGACTCATCATATGATTATTCTTTTGTCAAAACTAAAGTTATGGTTGTCCAATTACTTAGCACTATTGTGGCTTAATTGATGTATGAAAATTTGATGCAGATTGCTAGATACTAAAGTAAATGGATCACAACTAAGACTACTAAGCTTGTATTTTTGTCATGGACATACTCATAATTACATATACAAATATATAGAAATAAGTAAAAGTAGGTAAAAGTAAGTTAATTCTATAGTATTTAATATGGAAGCTTTCTAGAAGCTTCATAGATGCTGCTTTGACTTCATAGGTGTCTTTAATTGACTTTTTGGATTAGAAACGTGGTCAACAAGTTGGCCATGTGCCACACATGTTATTAGCTTAACGACCAAGCTAACTATGTGGCCCACACTTAGAAAAACTTGCCTTGTAAGTCAAAGCATGTGTCCTACAAAGTCAACACATATTGGAGGTCCTATAGAACGTCGCCACGTAGCCCCTAGTTAGATAGTATATATAGAGAGAAGAGTGAAGCTTTCTTCACTCTTGTTAACTCCTTTCTTGCTTCTAGTCTAGTTTCAAGGGTCTCTAGTTTCTTTGTCTTTTGGCAATAGCCATTCCAATTTTTCTTTCAATATACATACTTGTTTATTTATATTTTGTTACCTTTCTTTGAGTGAAGGCTTACTTATCTGAATTGCTTTTTCATTGAGTTCTTGTCCTTGACAGATTGATAAGAGTACACCTACAATATCAAAGCTTTGTCTAATCTTGATTAAGAGTGGATTACTCCTTTTTCTTCATAAGATATAATCATATTAGAAGTTGCGGATTACCCTCTTCTAAACTGATATTGTCCTTAGTATTTTCTTTGTTCTCAAGTCCTCTCTTCTATTTGTCTTGATCAATATTAGACAACTTCTCTTTTCTAAGTATTATCATGGCAGAACTTGTTGAAATGAAGAGTGCAATGGCACAAATGCAAGAGCAATTGAGAGAGTTAATGCTTGAGATGCATCAACTCAATTTACCACCACAAGGAGCAACAAGATTGGCAGGAAGTGAAGATATAGAAATGGTTGGAGCTGCTTCAACATCTGCACTAAATCATATCCTTTCTCTTGTGGAGGAACGCCCTTCTAGTATTAGAGAACCAAAAATTGCCCTATCCAAGAAGTTTGATGGCACCAGATCCAAGTTTTGAAGATTTATCAATCAAGTGCAACTTGTGATTGAACTTCAACCCCAAA